TTCTTTAATTCAGGCTTTGACGATGTTAGAGCTTAGGCTGTCAACTATATCCTTTTTAAGAGCCCAAATAATTTTACAGAGCATAGAAAATGCGTCCTCAGTGGTTCCGCCAGGGAAGAGAACTAACGCTCCTGCACAGACAGTCTATGAGTGTTTCGATATTCCTTGTCTGTGTGGATTCATGGGAGGTAGGATTGTAGAGATTATAGACTTGAGATGTCCCACAGTTCTCAGGATCTATGGCCTCTGACACCTGCCAATTAGACAATGGTTTAATAGTAGGACCAATAATACGAAGAGAATACCGTATGCTTAGCGATACTGAAAGAAATAGGTTAGTTAGAGCTGTAAAAGTTAGATAAAAGAGAGTGGCAGGAAAAATGTTAATGGGTTAGAAAATGAGTTTTTTTCAGATTTTATTCAGCGATGTGGTCAATAAAAAACTCTGGCGTTTACGATTATTTTGCTCGGATTCATTCCCGATTTGCAGTTGCCACTGGTGCCCATGCAGGACCTGCATTTCTCCCATGGCACAGAGAATTCCTGAAGAGGTGTTGTTTCGCTTTCCACTTTTGCAAAATTCAACAGACAATTCGTTTAGAGTAGAAATTGCTCTAAGAATGGTTGATCCATCCGTTGCCATACCCTATTGGGACTCTTCCATGGACAGCCGTCTGAATAAACCAGCTGACTCTGTTTTATGGAGTAGCGAGTTACTTGGTGGAGCTGGATCAAAACCAGCGGAAGTCAGAGATGGTGCCTTTGCCGGCTGGATGCTAGAAAATGTAAAATGAAAATGCATCTGGTGATTTCTAACTTCCTCTTCTGTTATCAAAGTTTTTTTTTGCAGAAAGCTCGAGTCATTAGACGCTTTGTTGGATTTCAGTCAGCACCAATGTCTATAAATGATGTGCAAACCTTCCTCAGCACTTCTAATATTCAGCAAATCCTTGCATCTCCTGCTGCTCGAGATGTATGTTTTGTTTTCATAAAACATCAAGGAAAATTACCACATTCAATCCCAATCTATTATTGGCCACTTCTAGGGATGTCCTATACCAAAATCATGGCAACTGCTAGAGCTCGCACACGGAAAACCGCATCTCTTCGTCGGCGGTTTGTTTACAAATAATTAGTGGATTAGTAGTTGTTTGACGAAATTTACAGAGGACTTGGTGTTAACCGCTTCTTCAGCAAACGATCCCGCTTTTTATCTACATCATTCATTTATCGACTTTATTTGGGAATCTTGGCGACAGAACGCGCAGGTGGGGTAATAATGGGCATTCAAAGTGCTGGTCTTCACCAGTAATTCTCCCTGAAACGAAGTTTGTGACTTCGCCAATTTATGTATATTGTAATTTTTCAAGAATTTGAGGACATTTAGACGAGACAAGCCCGAGAAACCGACTATCCACTAGACAATATACTGTGTAGCAGTTCTGTTCATTTTCGAGAGGCGCAATTGCTTCCGTTTACTCCCATGTTGAACATTGATGCTCTGTCAAATGATTATACAGGTAATTCTTCGTGTACATAGTTTTTACCTTTGCATGCTAGTAAATTGAGTATTTATTTAGTAGTGTAACCAAGTAACGCTTTAGACTTCCTATACAAGTATAGCCCAAGGCCCACGTGCTCCCTAAACAATCGTAATTGCGGATCAAAGTGAGTTACGAATGCCTTTTGTAACATAGTAGTAGAAATAACAAAGGATATCACTTGAGTTTCATTACCTATTCACTCAGATCTTCCGAGTATCTCTAGTGTGTCTAACTCCACCTCTTCTAGATATCTCTTTTGTGACCTCTCTCACGGCCAACCAGGTTGTGCATCAAAAATAGTTCCATCTGGTAATTGTGAAGGATTCTTTAACGGTGAGGACTTCTTGCTCTTTTTCAACTTTTTACCAAAACGTACACTATCTTGCATAGGAGAAGACTGCTGCTACAAAAGCACTTGTCGAGGAGGCACTTGCGTTCAAACCTCTGTAAGCTGTTACTATGCGAAACTCATCAGTATGAGAACCCTAATTTACAAGTTTTAGTCGAGGTTCGTGGACCAAGATTCTCAGGCCTTGAATAGCAGTGCTGTCGCAGCTAGAATAGGACCTGCCACCCTGCCGCCTTTAGACGAGGTTGTCTTCTTCTTAGATCGTCCTTCTGCTATGAACATCAATTTTAACAAGATGTCATTTCAAGCCGTGTCTCAATGAACTCGAATGTTGTGACTTGTGGGCGTCAAGTGGTCATTGTGAGAGCAACCCAACTTTTATGCTTGAATCCTGTAAAGTCTCCTGCGATGTTTGTTTACCTTCATACGATTCCTCTTTAGGTAGGTACATAATTATCAGACGCCAAACTGCTTTTTATACATTACTTTACCATCATACTGCTGGTCGCTTATCCATTTATTCTAAAATAGTCTCATTAACATACCTTTGTAGACTGCTCCGATCGATCGAGGATGTGCGCAGCAAATAAATGTCGATTTAGAATAGAATGGATGAAAGAGAATTGCAGAAGTACATGTGGTTTCTGTAATCAAACGAGAGAGCAAGCCTGCACAGGTGCAAAGCAATCTCGAACTTTCGCTCTTTTAAATCAGGAAAATATCTCTTCTTATAGTTAAATCTTTCTTACCAGACTTATAAGCCATTAAAAGATATTTTTTGATTATTAAGTTCCGTCGGCAGAAAACCCAGAAATCAATTATGAGCAAGAGATCCCCGAGAATCCTGAACACCCTACTCTACTGCAGGGCCACATCTCTGCCATAGTAAGTTCGAACTTTACAAGTGTGCATAGTCTTCGTTTAAGAAATTTGTTTTCTCCTTCGAAGGTTCCTTAAAACAGACTCCCCACTTTCTTAAACAATTGCAATTCTTTTTGAACACAAAACTATAATTTTCAGCTATCAATAATCTTGAAGAATCTGGGGAAGAAGTTAGTATAAAACTCTATTGTCACATCTGTGAAGTAAATTAGCTTACTGCGCTACGGATCACTAGCTTTTAAATCTTCTCACTCAACTAAATACTTTGTTGGCATCAAATAGTATTCATGTGCAATTTCATTTGCTCATCAGCGTTCCTTTAAAAATATCCTCATCTGCAACCTTCATGCTGAGTGTAAGCCTTTGCCCAGAGTCGCCATTTATTCCTAGTTAACCGGTTGTGCGATATTCGCACGCGGCGTCTGCGCGGCAAACTGACTACAACGGTGGTGAGTGGCTCTACAAGCATATGTTAGGTTTCGGATACCATTAGCGCTGAGTCAATAATGTCCAGAGAGATTTGCAGAGAAAAATTACTTTGTGGTCGTTTTGTGCGACCTTTTTTCCTATCTTCTCATGGTGAAAAAAAAAACAAATTTTGGGAAGTAGTAAAAGAACTTTCGAACATTTTTGATGTCCGTCATCCTTTATCATAATTATTGAAGAAAATTTCATGTGTGTTAGGCATGGTAATTGAACTGCATCTTGTTATATATGATAATGTTAAAAACCAATAGTCAACACTCTTACTTGATGAAAGAGTAAGTACTTGTAAATTAAAAGAGATATGTGAATAATTCATCTCCCAAGGAAAAAAAAA